GCTTGCGACATTGGGCCTGGTACGGCATTAAAATTTAATTATTTTTTTTTTTTTGACAGATGTCTGATTCACTTTTTGTTTCCATACATTATATTTCCTCCTTAAGTGACAATTCGAGATACGACATGAATTTCTGGTACCAAAAAGTGGATTTAGTGTATTATGTAAGTGCTATGTTTTTTAAAATTTAAAACAATAAATAAATTACCATTCATTTTTTTGAAATTTTAAAAATGTTTCTAAGAACAAAAATTAAAGCTGTCACGCAACTTCAGATTAACTGTTAACTCACAAAAACAAAAACGTCTCAATTAAATTTTGATAATTCAAATGAAAAGATTTTCAGTAAAGGTTTGAAATATTGGAAATCTCCTTTTCAAAGATGCGTTGCGAAGGGAATTCAAAGTTTTTTTTTTCTTAAAGATTGCTTCAAAAATACTGTATTTGTAGTTTATTGCTTTTCTCTATATCGTTGTGTAGCACATTAGGGTTCGGAAATAAATTGCCTTTGTCCTGACAAATATAATTTATTATATGATTTGTCGGTTTGATATACATGGGTACCTATGCCCATCACATATACATATATATGTATACATAAATGAGTTTAAGTAAAATATTTTTATTAAATTCGTGCGTAGGTAAATTTTGAGTTTTTTTTTTGATTAAATTTTTTTGTGTCTTTTTATTTTAAAAATTACTTACATGTAGTGTATATGACATACAAAATTAATGCAATTATTCATAAAAAATATATAAGCATGTGCATCTTATCTAAAAATTAAAATATATTATTGTCTGTCTCAAATACTATTTAGTATTTCCATTAAATAAATTCGGAGAAAAAAATATTTACATGCGTAAATAAACGTGTATGAAAAAAATATGTGATGCAAATTTGTGGTATTCATATTTCATATTACGTCAATATACATAGGAACTGGCTCATATTAGAAGTTGCAGCAATCATTATAATTATAACTTCAAGTTTTAAATATTTAGAATGGAAAATCCAAATTTAAAATTAAGAGTAATATTAATTTATTAATAAAGTAAATAAGTAGATATTTAAAGTACACGGTGCGGTTTTTCCAAAAAAAATATCATTAATTAAGTGATAAGTACTTAATAAAGAACAATCAATTTTCTCAGAAAAATTATATACATATAAAAGTTCGCAATTCATCTAAATTATAAGAGATAATGAAAAACGAGAAAAAAATCGAGTTCATGTCAACCATGTGTTGTGATACCCGTACGAACTTTAGTTGTCATCCTATTAACGAATTTATAATACTCTTCAAAAATACGTTCATAACAGTTCAAATAACAGTTACCATATTATCATTAATTTATCAAAAATTTCAGCATTGTAATTTCAATTGACTTCCAAGATATGACTAGAAGAATTCAAATAATTTCAATGATTTTTATTTTACGTAACAGCCCTAATAGTATATTTGCTTGTGTGAAATTTTAATATTATATTATCACTTTACGGAATATTATATTAGCATTTGAACGGGAAGAACTTTCTCAATCACATCTAAATTAAATAGGGTTTCGGAATTTACTATTGTAAATGAATTGTGAAAATTTGGTGAGTTATGCTTAATTTGTTTTTGCTTTGTCATTGCCGCGTACGGTCGAAGAAATTTACAAACGGGCAGACATAAATCGATACAAAATTCGACGCTGATCAAAAACATACACTTATGTCTATATCCGACACCATTATTTACAAACGGTATAGCAAATTTATAATATTCTTCGAACATACGTTCTAACCCTAGATGAATGCATTTAAATATAGCTATTATTCTTGTAAATAAAATAATAAAACAAAATTTAAGTAAAATGTTGTAAGGTATTAAATCTTTATAACATATTTACTTTAATACTATACTGTATGTTTATGAAATTTGAGAGTTCCTAAATGTAAATATTTATACATATCTACATTTTTTGTGTAACCTAATACATAATGTATAATAAGTTATTTAATTTGCGCAAATTTTGCAAAATATCACTATATGTAAGCATTTGAATAAACAATTCTGCGGAAGTTCTTATAAAAAAGTAGGCAAAGTATTCACGAAATATGAATATTGTGTAATATGATGATAACGAAAACAAGATTATTGTTTAATTATATGCATTTAATTTAAACACTGCAACTAAATAGTAACGAGAATTTGAAAAAAGAAAAAAATTTTTTTAATATCTTTTTACCTTAAAAATTATTTTCAATTAACGCATATTATACTTAAGCCAATAATTAAGAATTGCTCATTGTTTCTATTTTTACGAAAATATTTAAAATTTTTTTTTTATTTCTTGATAAGCGTGCTGTTATTTAAATTTTATTATTATTTGTTTTTTATACATATATGTAGTTTAAAAAGTCACGTAACATCACGTTTAAAATTTTGTAGAAGAATTTTTTAAATACTTGTTTAAAAAATTAAACAAGTAAATAAAATTCTGATTTTACGAAAATAAAAGAAGAAGAAACAATAGTTGAAAAAAAATTTTTTTTTAATTTTTAATTTTAATAGCTGGTTTCCGGTTCTATGCTTGATAATAGCGCATTCATTTGACAAATTATTCGAATTGTTTACATAATTTGATGTGCGACGTAACAGTTTAAAATTTCTATGGACTATTAATTGAAAAGAAGTTGTTATTCAAGGAATAATAACAAATTTCATTGATGAATTATAACTAAATATTCCAGCCTTATAATTATAAATAAAATACAAGCCTAATTTTAAGTAAAAATTATTTTATCTGTTTCCTAACGGGAAATATGTACGGTTATTTAAAATTTAATTTAGCTTTAAGAATCAAACCTAATAAGTTCGTATATTTTTATGTTCACACTAAATTTATAGATTTTTTTAAATATATTGTTTATGAAGAGAGTATTTATTCTAAATACTCGTAAAGCCTCATCAGTTGTCAAATATGACTAATAAGAACAATATTGTTGTTATTTAAATACATGCAAATTACTAAATATTAATAATAAAATAATAATATATAATCATTGTTATATGATTCACATTTATATATATAATTACGTGCTTATATTAAAGATTTTTTACCAATATGTTATTGAACTCAGTCGTAAGAAAATTATTAAATATTATCAAAATTAAAACAGGCTTTTTAAAATAAATTTTAGAACAAGTTTTTAATTTAATATTTTCTAAGTTTACTAATATGGATTTGTATATGAATAAATATATTGCCTAAACAGAATCGATTTTGCCTATGCAAGGTATACATTTGATTGTGTTCCATTGAATTAAAGCGTGTGTATACGTAAAAATTTTGGACAATGAACGCATTTACAGTATTAAAAAATTCAAATTTACTATTAAAATTATTTTTGTAAAAATTTTCTATTTTTAAATTTTAAATAAGATTATGTTAATTTTTTTGTCATGATATTCTTATTATTTTAAGTGGTCTACGTGGTTAAAGGAATGTCCTCTAGAATTCTTTTATAATAAAGCAATACGCATTACTTTCTAGCTAGTCGCCTTGTTGCTTGAAGTTCGAGCAGGTCTAGAATATTTTTCATCCTATCTATCATCAGATAAAAAAAACAATAAAAAAAAAATATAAAGCACGTTTAATAAGTTTAAACTGCATGTCTGCAAAATCTTTTGCAATTTGGATTATTTTATAATAATCCTTTATATTTAAGACGAATCAGCTTATGAACAGAAATCAAGAAAACAATTTTTGTGAAACATAAACTTTGTTTATGTCCCTGAAATCATATACAATACATATCTTAAAATAAAATAAAGACATTAAAATATCTAACAAACACCAAAATTCCTGAAAACTTTTTGCATAACTTTTGAAAGTCTTTAAAACAAAATACTACCACAAAATGAAAATTGTCCACCAAGCAAGTGTTCATTATATATATAGTGCGTTGTTGTTCATCTGTAATATGTACATATTATATCAAGAGATTCCACTTGATATAATATGTAAAATCTAATCTAGATTATAAGCGCACAATGCGAAGTACAGATTTTTAATTATATTCTAAAAATAATAATTTGATTTCCTTTCATCAGAATAGCTACATAAATATTTAATAAACGCATATTAATTTTTTTTGTTATTATTATGTTTTAGATGTTTCAACATAAATTATTTTATTAAAATATCTTTACATTTCTTTTTTCATTTTTTTTTTTCGCAAATTTTTCCATACAAATTCTTTTTTTTTTTTTTTTTGTTTCTTGTAATAATTATTATTGATAAATTTAATATTATATTTTATTTTTTCCACTATATAAAAATGTATCAGAATCTTTATATTCTAAATATTTGGAAATTCTTATATAATGCTATTCAATATTGTAATAATTAACTACATATATAAATTTGAAAAATTGAAAATATACATTTTTGTATATACATATAATTCATTTTTTCAATAAGGTATTTAATTTATATAATTTTGATTTATGTATAAACACATTATTTGTTTTTTTGTTTTTTTTTAGTTTAAATTATTTAAATAATGAAAATAAGTTGGAAAATACACTATAGAGATTAATTTTAAATATGCAATTGAAAATTAAATGAAAAAAAAAAATTATAATAATAAAATATAAAATTTTGCTATAAACATAATAGACATTATTTTGAAATAAATTAATAGAAAAATTAAAATTGAAATAATAAACAAAAATGTTTTAAATTTTATTGATAAAATAATTTTTAATATTTTCAATAATTATTTTTTTTTCCTATTTTTGATTTTTTTTTTTAATTTATATAACATACACATTGATAATAAATATATATTTTTTATTTGATAAAATACGTGTGTATCAATTTGAAATTAAATTTTATATAATTTTAAATTTTTTTTTAATATGGTATTTATGAATTTAACTAATATAAACACAAAATATATACTTATATAATTATGTGAACAATTTTTTTTTTTTCATTTTTTTTTGAAATTTTGTTTTATAGAATTCCGTTTAAATCAGGTCCATGGTCATGTCCAGCTTTTTCAAGAGATTTCAGCATTATTAAATTCATATTTATCATTATAATTTTTTTTTTTGTTTTGTATCAGAAAATAAAATATTTGATAATCGTCCATCACTAAAACAAATTTTCCATTATTTTCCTTGATGATTTATTCATCTTCCATGCCATCAGCATCTTCAATATTCTTTATACCCTTAACAGGCTAAAAATATAAAGTAAAATAACAAAAAAAAAACATTATTTTTTTATTATACAAAAAAACAAAAAAAAAAAAATATTTTTATTTTGATTTTTATTCATTTACTAAAATGAAATTGAGAAATGTATAATAATTGTTGAACAATTTTCCAATATTGTCATCAAAAAATATCATAATACTCATAATAAAGATATATGTATAAAAGAATAGAAAAAACTGCGATAATTGTTATATATTATTTAAATTGATTTATTAATTTTTTTTTGGTATTTTGTAAACCAGTGTCGTATCTTTATTGTATCCTACTCCCAAATATAGTTAGGCTTTTATTCTAATTGTACAAATTTCAATACACTATTTATTATCCTACTAAACAATGAGAATATTATAAAGATATTAATATAGCAAATTTACAATTTCGACTATCAATTTTTAGAGGCACTCCTTTGGAAAATTGAAGCATTTATAATATTAAATGGATACTCGTACTATGAAAATTGTTGTTTAAGTATATTGAATATTTGAAATAAAAATTTATTCTTTAATATAATTTGCTTTCCAAATTTTAAATTTATCTTTTATTTTAAATTAAAATGTATTTACGAAAATTGTTTTTGGAAATTCGAAAACCCTTAAATATGAAACCTTTATTAAAGACAAAAAAAAAATCTACATTTATACTACAATGAGTCTTGAAATTTTAGAAAATAGTACAATTTCATTTAAAGAAAAATAGAACAGTGTTTAAATAATACAATATTATCTACATGGGAGAATATATATACACAAATGTAAATGTATTTAATATAAAAAATTCCTAACAATAAAATAATATACTTTCATTTTTGTTTTTCTTTATTAAAAAAATATTTTATATCACTTTTAGATTTGATGTTAATTTCTTTTGCTGATTTCAGCATTATGTCCTTTACTATACTTATTCTATTGTAAATATTAAAAAAGAACAATAAATAAAGGAAAAAAATTATATATATTTTACCTTTGGGTGCATTAAAATAAATGGAAGCTCAGCACACAATTCACCGCCTAAAGCACCAAGTAAAAGCTTAACTTTAACAGCATAAGAAACAACAATACCAAAAGCATCACGATTTTCTGGTGATGATAATCTAAAAAAAAAAAAAATTAATTTCAATATATTATTATTAAATGTTAATAATAAAAGATATGAGACAATAAAATATAGTTGATGTTTTTCAAATAGGTTAAAAATTTACTAGAGCGACATTTATAAGATACTTCTAATATATGTGGTTTTTCATAAACCTTGATTTTGCATTTATGTGCACTTGTGGGAACATTGTAAAGGCTTTACACTTTTTAATATGCTTTCAAAACATTGGGAAATGCCTAGGTAATTTCACTTTTTAATTATATTCAATATTAAGCTAACATAAGTACGATACATCGTATTACTAAATCAATAGAAGAACCTGTACTGTACCTATGCCTTCTTCTCAATATTATATGAGCGAAAAAACAGATTCATTATACCTTTCAGACTATTCATTCTTTTTCATAAAAATTATGAATTAAAATAAACAAAATATTAAGGAAAAAAATATGAACTGAAAAAATTATTCCCTATTGGCTTCTTATTGCTTTAAACATATTTTGGAAATAAAAAGTTTTTCCAATTTTTCGTGTATGTATATGTACATCTACATACCATCATATTCTATAGATAGACTTAAAAAATGTATGTATTGATTTTTTCTTTTCTTTTTTTTTATTTTCTTGTACTTCAAATTTTTTAATTTGTCCCCAAATAATTTTCATGGATATACTGAATGTAAAGATCAAAATAACCGGAAGATACAAATATTAGGTACATGTACATGAAATGTATACATTATATTCCCAAAAGTATGAAATTTAAAACATAAAACTTTTCAACGTTATAGGAAAACTAAAAGTACAACATTTTTTTAAAAAATTGTATACCGTTTAAGAAAATATTGGTTAAATTTTGATAGAATTTTTTTTAGCAAAATAAAAAAATATCTTTTTTTATTTAATAGGGATAGAAATACGTTAAATATACCAATTCGTACTGACATTTTAATTATATATCACATACTAGAACTTATTATTATGTTAAACTTTAGAAATATATGAAAATACTTACAATGTAGTTGAAGCTAAATAAGTTTCACGTTTTTTAATTTGACCTTCAACAGCGATACCAAAACGATTTTGATTTGAAATCAAAGTCGGTACCAAATACATTACTTTTTGTACACTTGATCCTGGTTGTATTGGACAACCTTCAGTTGTTTCTGACGATGCTATAGTATTCCTAAATTGACCATTTTGAAATAGTACAACATCAACACCCTGTTGTACCATTACCTTAATTTTTTTCACCACCTAAAAACCACGAATATAATAAAATTTCCTCTATTTATTTTTCCTTTATTTATTTATGTACCTTATTCGAATTATTCCGTACACATAAATTAATTGCAATTTTTTCACCATGATGATACAATTGTTTATCTAAAGTTACTTCCAATTCTAATTCACCAGGTGATAATAAAAAGTCTTTACGTACAACTGTACATGGTTGTATACCTTGTTTTGTTGGTGCATATTGCACTTTACGTATTGCCAAAGAAACAGTACTACGTTTATGGGAACGATCAACTTCATTATCACCAGCAAATATTTTAACATAATATTGCACACCACATGGTTCACTTGTATCATCAGCTTTCTGTTGTAATGTTATTGAAGCTGGACAATTTGGTGACATTTTCAATATAAATGGGAATGCATTTTGACCCAATTTTTTTAATAAACGATCTTGAGTTTTTGTTAAATTTATATCAACTTTTTGCTGTGGATGAATTTGTACTGAATCTAATGTTAATTCTTTTTGGAAATTTAATCCCATAACTTCATCTTCTTCACGTCCATAACGAAAATTACAAATTAATTGCGCATAAACTTTTCTATTATATTTAACATATTCATCATCCAATACAACGATGCCATCTGAAATAATAGATGTATAAAAAAACAGCTTTTAAATTATAATATTAAATGTTTTGTTATTTATTTTTTCACAATTTTTCTAATTTAGAAATAAAAAACAAAATTTTGTTAACATTATAAATTTAAAATAATGAAAATGAAATATTCAAAATAATATTCCACAAAAATGACATTAGATATAATTTTATTCCTAACATCGTTATTGCCATCTATGAAACAAAAGTATAAAAACTGTTTAATTAAAACAAAATATTAAAATTTCACAATAGATAGAGCGGCAAGTATTATTCTTAAGTCAAAATAATTTTCAATAATTATAAATAGATAATCTTTTGTAATTTTAAGTAGACAATTTTAAAATATTAAAATATTTAAATAGAGTTATTATTGAGAATATTTGAATATTAGATTTGAAAAATTGCCTAAATCCATTTGAAACAATATATTTTACTACGGACATAGATCTTAATATTTTTGAATGTATCCGAACTGTAATTAACCTTCCCGTTATGTTTTCTCTCCATATACATATATTGAAATACAATTATTTAACTCATGTATGCAGCTGTTACGAATTGTATACGTGATGAGTGCATAAAAAATTATAATTTAACACTGTAAACATCCACGAATTTTCAAAACAATTAATTTTTTTTTTCGAAACCATCACAATTTTTCAGTTTAATTTATTTTACATCAGCTGAAGTGTAAAATAAAATATGAAGACAATTTGGAAATAAAATTGATAAATATAAAATATAAAAATATTTTCATAATATTAAAATTTATTTAATATATAAAAAAGAAATTATTAATTGATCTCAAAAGAGAAATTTAGAAAAGTGTACAAGCGAAAACGAAAAAAATAAAACAATAAAAACTTATAAAAAATTCTGGAAATGGGAAAACAGCTAAGAGACATTTTCGCCCATTAAAAAAAATTTGTATATCTACGTATAGCTATCGTATAGCTTTTTTTATATGAATGTGTATTTAGTATCCTTTCCTTTTAAAAATATCCTTTTTAATAATTTAGGGAATAATGTTTTTTCTTATTGCTTTTATTTTGCAATTTCCTTCTCACACGAGCTTAAGTATAAAGAAAAAGTTTTTAGTTTTAAATTTTAAATTATGAAAATTTTAATAATAACATATAAGAACGTTGAAACAAAAGTGCCATCTATAAAGTGAAATATCTAAAATATTTTAATTCCTATACCCTATCAAATAACAGTGACTTATTTAACAATGACATAAAGTGGAGGAATTTTAATTTGTATACACCTCATTTATACAAATCTACTCACCAATTGGTTCAACTGCAGATACAGAATCCACAAATTCTCGTTTTGCCATATAAAGGGTTAGGCGATTATTTGGCGAACATTTTTTGAAAACTTTGAAATTAACAACCATTTTGAATTATTTTTTTTTTTTCGTTTCTTAATTGATAATTGAATAACTGTAAAATAATAAGTTTTTTTTTTTTAAATTTTTAATTTAATATATTCACACTTTATTTAAAATATTATAAAAATTTTCAATTAATTAAATTAAATGAAATTTTAAAATAAATTAATTTTTATTTTCACTATAATTGCTTATTCCTAAAAAATAAATTAAATGCACATTTTAAAAATAAAAATTAATTTTTAAATTTTATATAATTATAAAATAAAAAATATATTTACTAATAATGTGTTATACTATATATTTTTTTTTTGTTTTGTAAAATAGTTGGTTTTAATTTCTCGGAACAACTTTAAGTTTGCAAATAATGTTTGGGAATGAAAAAAAAAAAATTAAAAATTTTTTTATGTATTTTGAAAAAAAAATCGTCAAAACAGCCGTAAATGATACGTTTTAACGTCGGAAATTAATTTGAATATATTTTTTTAAATGACCTTCCCTTTATAGTCTTTTCTTTTATTCAATTAGTAGTGATTATTTTCATAGTATATATAGTCATCATTGTAAAACAATATATTTTTTTTTTATATATTTGATATAAATAGATAATAATTTATATATTTTTTTCAATATTTATTGATAAATATATAGGATGACTTTTATACAGTAAATTCTCGATATATAATTAGTTTTACTATAAATACAGTTTCTCTAAGAAAATAAATGCGCTGTCGCACGTTCATGTTGTCACTGTAGTATGCTATCACTTTCAAACGCTCACCGTGAAGTTTAAAATTGTGTTCTATAACATGCTGCGTTGCCAGTTCGCAGTCGCAAGCGGTATGGCGTTTTTAATAACGACATCTGTATATATATATATATAGGAATTGCAACGCACTAGAAATTTTATTTACTACAAAATTATAGTATGTTTGTAAAATTGTAAGAGTTTTTTTATAAAATTATTTTTTTGCTTATTTTATGTTACTTTTTAATTCTCATAAAAATTTATAATGCAAAAATTCAAATAAATAATAAAATATTGACAATTAGCCAAAAAATTCGCCAAAATATTGACAACTACGTTCTTTGTCCAATCTTTTTCTGACTAGCCAATATATAACATATATGCATTTATATACGTAAAGTAACAAAGAAATTTTCAAATTTAATTTGATCAAAAATTTCTTGATCAAATAAAGGGCCTTTTCATCTCCTTTTTAATGTTAATAAATTCTCGTATATCTCTTGTACAATATATAGGGAATTCACTGTATTAAAAATATGTACTTAGTTTACTTATACCAGCTTATACATTTTAGTTACACTTGGAAACATCAACCTGTTGTAAGGTTTCATCAGCAGTTCCGTCATTTGCTTAATATTTGTTTTTCCAATTTTTTCTTCTTTTTTTTACCTTGCTAACACTGGCTTTGACATTTTTTGCTTTTTTTTCCTTTTTATATTTTTAGGTATTCTCAGTAAATGATAGAATTGTAAAGGACAAAATAAGAGAGAGGAAGAAAAAAATTAATTTTAGCGTGATTGGTTTTTTGTTCTTTTATTTATTGGTTCTATTTTATTTTGTATTTCCGATTTTTAATTTATTCTTCAGAATTATTTCCTTTTATTATACAAATAATAAGTTTTACCTTCTTACTTAAATTTCTTATAATCCTTCTTAAATGTTTGTATTTTCCGTTTATCTATCAAAATATAAGATATTTTCTTATTGTGGCTGTTCTATTCTTGTTTTCTTATATTAGGGTATATTTGGTATAGAATTATTGGTCTTCTTATAATAGTCTTGTTATTTTATTTGTAGATTTCTAGGTCATCTCAATTGGTTACGATTTTAGGTTATTGTACCTACATATTTATTTACATAATATAACAATTGTTTAGAAAATAACAAGAATTCTTGGAAAAATAAAAAAAATATTTACATGGACTTTATAAATGGGAACATTCAAATTTATGTAAAAAGCAAAAAAAAAAGAAAAAAAGAACTATTATGCAGAAATATTATTATTTTTTTATTATTATTTCCAATATTTATTTATTGATTTTATTTATTATTAAATTGTAAATTTTTACTTTTTTTAATAAAATGCGTAAAATATAAATTTTTTTATAGTTTTTATCAGTTTTGATTATTTAAATCAAATCCGCCTCTAATAAATTGATTCAATATCTTGCTCTATTATGGAAGATGATTTCTCCAACCAAGTCGACTATCAAAATCAAATATATATCACTGCTGTGATATATACCTATTTGACTTTGATATTAAAAGCTAGACAAAAGGGACTTTCCGTGTCGAAATGCCAAAATTAATATAAAATACACTAAATAGCCTGAAATCTTATTTTACCGCTTGCGGTTTTTTTAATATCATCATATGTGTGAGCCTTTATATGCAAAATATTTAATAGTCCATTTTACCATCACACTGTCGTTCTTGGTTAACAACGGATAACGTCCGCCGTTGCCGTTCACCGCTTTTGTTCTGTTTTCACAATAAGAGATTATCGCCATTACTCACTTAAATCGATATTAACAAGTATAAAATCGATTCTGAATCTTCTATTGTTTTCTAAAAATTTAAATATTTTTGATGTTCTAATTCAATATAATCTTGTGAATTCTCTTAAATTTTTTTTTTAATACTCGTACAAATTTAATGGCAATTTTTTGTTTTTTTTTTTTTTTAATTGAATTTATATATTTTATAACTTATTTTAATTAATTAAATTAATATTTTATACAATAGAATTTTAAATTAAAAAAGAAAATTGCGATAATTCAATATATGTATATATGTATGTATATAATAGTAAGAAAGACAACAATATACATTCAATTTATGTGATTAAAATATATATATATTTACAGTATTATAAAACATTATGTATATAGTTTATTTAATTTAGTTATACAGCCAATATGCATGCAATCAGTTTTTTATATATGGTAGATAGCTTACATGTTCAACTGTTTAAGTTAACCTTTAACGACTCCTTTAAATTATATGCATACATTACATGTATGTATATATTTGAAAGAAGTATGCACATACAGTTCTATATACATCACACATAATTAAATGCTATTAATGCAATGACTGCATATAATATTTGCATAGTTTCGTATATGTAATAAAATTTGGTTTGTGGAATCTATCGATTTTATTATACAATTATATTGTTACAATTAAAAAAGAATTTAAAATAATCACTATAAAATTTAAAAAAAAATGTAATTAGTAAAATTGCAAAATCTGTACATTTTTCATTTTTTTTATAGAAGAGATGAACTATGAATCACAGGAAATGCTATTTGATAAAGTACTAAGTATAAAGCCTCATTTATGAACACGTTCACTTATGTAAGTATGGCTGAATTTTTATGTTTAATAATAATAATATTGAAATTAAATTCTAATTTATCAATTTTTCCCAAAAATATAACTTATAATTTAATTTAAAATTAATTTATAAAAATATTCCCCGAAATTTTCAACAAATTTAGTGATAATTACAAATATCCTTTATTAAAAAGATGTTTCCTAATTTTAATTATTTAATAATTTGTTTTTCCTGCTCTACTCCCTTAGGAAGCATAGGATTTCTCCACAATTTCTCTATCTAACTCATATTCCACAATTCTCTTCTATTTCTTTCTTAACTACTTCATTTTTCGTTTACTTTGAGAATTGCATTCTAGAAACTTCCTTTACATATTATTTTCTGCTTTTCTGAGAGTATGACCGATCCATTTTCAGTAATACATGCAGTAGTTTTTGAATTGATCTTGCTGAAGCACCTTTAGTTCCGTATCAATATAGACATAGTGAGTTTCTTATATTAATTATTATGTATAGAATGTCTTTGTTTGTTAAGGATTGTCATATCGCCTCTCGGTTGTAATTGGTTAATACTGAACTTATTTTATTATTTGTTAAATATTGTATGTATTGTATGAACATATTGTTGTTGCATTCTAAATGTTATTGAATTTGTGTTATTGTAAATATTTGTAATATATATTATATTGTTAATTACATACTCATTGTATGAATTATTGAGCTAATATGAAACTGGTATTTCTTAAATAAACAAATAAATGTTGTGATAAGTCAATTTTTTTTTAAATTTTTGGAGTCAGTGTCACTGTAATAACTTTTAATTTATTCAACTTTCGTTTGTATAGGTAATTATAATTAATTTAAACTTGTTTTGAAAGTCAATTTTACTCTCATGGTCTCTTATCAATTAATGAACAATTAATGCAACTCAGGAATTAATTAAGCAACGACTTAAAAATTTTACATAATATTTCTTGTAAATCTTGTAGAACTATAAAATATTGGTAGAGTATGGTTCTTAATGCAAGCCTTACCAATTCAAAAAATTTCTTTATAAAAATCACAAATATTTATAAAAATTGCTTATAAATTTTATACATTTTATTCAAATGATGTTATATAAAACCATTATATGTGTATAGAATGTAAAAATAACAATAATTCTATGTTAAATTAATCTACATATATAAATTGAAATAAAAATTTTTTTAAATTTAAAAAAAAACTTTATATAGACATTATGTAATACTTGTAAGTAAAATTTACAATTTGCTCCTGAAAAAATTTTACTCATATCACAAAACAAAAAATATTTTAAAAAATTATTACAAAATGTTAAGTTTAATTCTTCCTATTATTAATATTTAAGACTGAAAAATTAAATCAAATCCTTTTTGTCATAAAAAATTACAATACTTTCATTGTTTTACCACAATAAGTGCAATTCCTGCTATTAAAATAACAAAACCAACAGCAGCTAAACTATATCCAATTGAAATAATTATAATAGGGGGTGCTAGATTGAGCTAAAACAATAATTGAAATTAAATATTTTAGCATCATTCAAAACATTTTATTTTTAATATCTATATAAAGATTACTTTAATTTTAGATGCAGTTTCCTTATCTAATTCAGATCTTCGATTAAACCAATACATTGGCATCAGTACATCTTTTTTAATATCTTTATAAATACTAAAAAAAAAAAAAATAAATAGAATTAAAATAGTTTATTTTTTTAATTTTATTCTAAATTACTCAATTCCTTGCACATGCTGTAATTTCATATTAATTTGAAATTTCATATTTCTGACAATTGGTATACCAGCTGATTTTTCTAATGCTATATAAAATTCATGTTTTTTCTTATCAGGTTTAATACCTTCAATTGCTTCAATATAACTTGAATCGGCTAAGTAAAAATGTGGAAATGAAATTGAAATTGGTGCACCCCAAAAACATTTTGATGCATCAACAACACCATATTTATGACATTCTTTAATATTACTATTTGGACAAAAACATAAATTATTTTTTTCTATTTGACCGCTATCTAATGTTAATTGTGTTGCTTTCCAAATAGTACCACTAACTCCATATAATAATATATCAACATCTGGATAAATATTAACAGAACGACAAATATCACGTATAAAAATTGATAAAAATTTATTTGTATCAATTAATGGTGGCCATAAATCTCCTTCTGTACCATTAATCATACTACAATGTTCATCATAAAAATCAGTTTTACGTGAATAATTCCAATATGTTATATAACCTAATTTATGAATTTCATCAGTGCCTGTATTAATTTCAAAATGACCTTCATATGTTTTTGACATATTTCTGTCAACTAACCATCCAAACTTCTCAAGTGGAATATCAATTAAAAATGAATTAAATTGTTTTAAGAATGATAAGAGTTTATCATCAAAACCTTCAAATATCCATTGACCAGCTGGTTTAGTCCATGTTAAACTACCAGTATTATTAAGCATATAATTTACAAGTTCTTTTACTATATCATTTTGACTTTTCATTATATTTGCTACAATCTAAAACAAAAAAAATCAACACAATTAATTAAATATTAAAACTATCCTAAATAATATTTCTACCGCAGTTATAACGTTGGCATGTGTTATTGGTTCATCTAAAGTACCATTTGATAAAATTGGTTCAAAATTCCATTGTTTAATTTCATGAAATGAAACGGTATGATTTGGATTCCAATTAATATCAACAATTATACGTTTTTCACTAAAAACAAGTGGCCCATATTCAACAAAATGTGGCTTAAAATTTGGTTCCTGTAATTTGTGGGGATTGGTCCAATTAAATAGATACACATCAAAATATGTTGGTACAGATCTATTGATCCATTGGTAATATGCTGCTGATCCATTTCGTAATTGTAATTGCTGTAAATTATAACATATTTTCTAAGTTTCTAATTTAAATACAAAAATTGAAAATTTTTTTGTATAACTATTTTATTATTACTTTATGGAATATTGTTTTAGATAATGTTGGCCATAGAATTCCCAAACATAATCCAATTACTAAAACTAATAAACCAGTGAAAAATGTCCAAAGTTTTTTTTGAGCACCGCTACAATGTTTACGAGACATATTTTTAATAGTAAATTTAATTAGGTACTTATGCAAAATATAGAACTAAGATAATTGCAATAAAAAATTGATAAATTTGCTGCGTGAAGTTTTTATCATTCAACTATTAAAGTCATACAAGCACTGATAAAAAATTTATTTTAGAAGAAATTGAGAAAATATTTGATTTTTTTTTTTTGTTAAAAAAATATTTTACGTTATCTGACAATGTAATAATTGGTATCATTTTATTCTAAATGTAAACTTGTTTTAAGTAGGTACTGATAGGTGACGGAATAATGTATGAAAGTTCAAATGATTTACAATAAATTTCTGGCTCGTGACGAAAAGTATTTTCCCAACAACAAACATTTTATGACAAAAGAAAAAACAGGTCCAAATTCATAAATAAAAAGTACTTTAAATAATGCAATAAAGTCAAAAAGTGTAGTATCAGATCTAGTTTTCCAATTAACACTCAATTCTATCAGGCAAATCAGGTAAATCAGATGCCCAGTATAAGAAAAGAATGTACTATATGAACTAAAATTAAAATGAATGAGAAATGAAAACATTATCAGGAAATTAAACATAAATTCAAAATTAATTTTAAATACTTACACTAAAAAATATTCACGTCCGGGCATTATTTATGTCCTTAATACGTTACTGTTAAGCACATTTATGTTGTTTAATAAATTGATGAATAAATAATAGAAGAAAATTTATTAGCTTGCTCAATACAAAAATTTAATTATGCATTTCTTTTAATAGAACAACATTTGTTCAATAACAATAAAATAAATTTTTGCAGCATTATTCGTTTTATAAATTTCTTGCTGACATAATAATATAATGTATAGATTGATACTGATATACTAAAGTCAATCACGAACAAATTATTTTAAAAGCTTTAAGGCTAAATTAAAAATTACAAACCTCTCGAATAATTCGCGTGTATGTCGGAAGAATCGGAATTTTTGCAGTAAAAAAAAGGCAAAAAAGTATAGAAAGCAAAGTATTTAAAAGTATGTATTAAGGTGCGGCAGAGCTTTAAATATAAAGTATATAATATACATATTTCCTTAGAAAGTGCAAGATCCTCTTTGATGGCTCAAAACACCTAAAAAACTTAATTACCATGAAAAATGCTAATATTTACTCAAGAAAATTGACTCCAACCCTTTTAAAAACCACCTATACCTTTTATTAGACTCAAATTAAGCAAAATATTTTTGAAATCACTATATTATGAAGTTAAATTATGTAGCTCAAGGCAATAAAATGTATCATAAATGGAATCATTAAAAAAAATTATATTATCCTAATTAAAATTTCTTATAAATTATATTATTTTTTAGTAGTTATTTAACCTTCTCAAATCCTGCATCAAAATACGAGTATATCGAAAATAAAAAAAAAATATTAATAAAACTTTCATTACTTTCCCTTATCTAAAATATTTATTTAAGTTTAGATTTACATAATTTATTTAGAATTGTTTATTTTTATTATTGAGTTTTACCCTCAAGGATCATCATGATGTTACGATAATAAGGCAGAATGCAATGAATAATTAAGTGACTTCATCAAACTACAATCTTATGAATAAGGAACTATAAAATGGTTGATAATCCAACCTTTTGTATTAAAATGATACAGTGAAGAAAAATTTAAAGTGAATAATATGTTTTGTACTTTTAAACATTTTCATTAAGCTTGCATTAAAAATTATAAAAAATTAATACAATAATTGGCCAAAAAAATGATGAGTGATCTCAATTCCAAGAACAAATTCTCGTTAAATATGAAGTGTGTAAATTGTTAAAAGGTAAATTTACTAGCTGCAATTTTTGAATATGTATATATCAAATAAATTTCAATAAAAAAAAAACATATACTTTTGCTTAATTTTATAAAAAATATTTTTTTTCGTATATTTTTTTTCTTCTTTTTTGTTTCGAATATTTTTTTTTTTTTTTTTGTATAACAATATCATTTTGATTAAGTATAAACTTTTCATAATAACAATTTTAATTAGTACTTACAATTATTTCAAAGATATACATATTCTAGTTTTTTTTTTTTTTTAAGTGGCCGAAGGAAAAGCAAAAACAAATTAAACTTATTTAACAAATTTTTAATTGTTGTGGTGTTTAAACTTCTTTAAATCAGCCTTATAATTAATTACGTATGAAATTAAATTAGGAAACTTAATAAGAATCAATATTAAAAAAAAAAAAAAACAAAATCAACCCTTTGCAAAACAAAATAAGAAAGTTGTAATTCAATAATTAATGTTATGAAAAAATACAAAAGAAAATAAAATTTTTTCAAATTTAAAGTAAACTTCCTAATAAATTAAATTATTTTTTTTTTTTTTGGCAATATTTAAGTTAAAAAAGAAATTAATGAACTATTACATTTATTAAGAATAACTTAGCTTATTTAATTTATTATTATTTAATATTTTCTGAAATCTAACTTAATATTATTAAATTAATTTGAACCTTTTACAAATTTCATATATATATATATCTATTTAAGTTAATTATAAAAGCGTTATAAATAACTAAAGACAATATTACATGCTTCCCTTATTTGTTTTAAAGAATCAGATGCAAAGTTTAATATAATAAAGCTTTGGTTTACATAATGTACAAATTCCAAAAAAAAAAAAATTTATATCCTCGTTTTCATAAAATTCAAAAATTATTCGCTTTGACTATATTTAATATACTATTCGTATACAATATAAAATATGATCTAAAACGAGGTAAACTTAATAATACTATGTACAATAAATATTTAATAAAAATGAAATAAAAAAAAAAAAATATTTTTGGCACTTTTACTTTTAATTCGGTTCCTAATTTGTTCTTTCTTAAAACTATTACTATGATTAGAATGTTACTTTATCACCCTATTTATAAATATGCCCTACGTAATAATTTAGTAATTAAAAAAATTATTTAAGAAAGTGTAAAATTCTAAATTTATAGTTTAAATTTACTTTTAAAAAATAAAATGTAAGTATCGAGTGCAAAATTTAAGGGAACTTTAATGCAAAAGAATATTATCCATGAAATAAATGTTTTCTATAGTTGTAGTTATTGACGTTAGAAGATTTAATAACATAGCGTATTTAGTGAAAGATAAGAAGATATTATTACAACCCTCAATAATATTGATCTTGATTTGTGCTTTTATGGATATTTAAAACTATTATTGTTTTCACTAAATCTACTTTCTTAATTAATTTACTAAATTATTTATGTATAAAGCAGATTAAAATAGAAAAAAAAATCTATTTTTTTTTTTTTAATTTTTTTTTCTATTTTGGAAGGCATAATATTTAACATGTGTACGTTATTTTACTAAAAAAAAAAAAAAGCTTGTAAAATATCATAATTAATCAAGTATAAAAAGAGGTTTAAATTAAAAACTTAAGCATTTAAAGTAGCATCTATTAAATTTTTGGTCAGTTTTGATTTCCGAATTCATCATTCAGTGGTTGTCTATCATCATGATATGATCCCCCCCACTTTTTTAAAATAGATAAAGTAATTCCAACAATTATTATAATTGCTCCAACACCAGCTACACTGTAACCAACAGCTACACCAATAATTGGAAGAGCAAGAGCCAACTAAAATCAAAATAAAACATACAATCAAATCAAATTTTTTAAAAATATGTTATGAAATATTTTACTTTCGCTTTTGAAGCTGTGTCTTCATCTAATTCAGCTCTTTGAGCAAACCAAAACATAGGCATTTCTACGTCTTCTTGAACATGTTTATAAATACTTGAAATCGAAAATAGATTATTAAAAAAATTTCATTCACATATTAAATAAAAACTTACTCGATTTCTTCGTCACGCTGTAATTTCATATTAATTTGAAATTTGGCACTAACTGATATTGGTATACCAGCAGTTGGTTCTAAAGCCATATAAAATTCATGTTTCTCTTTTTCTGGTTTAATACCTTCAACAGCTTCAACATACGATGGATCTGCTAAATAAAAATGTGGAAACGAAAATGATACAGGTGCATTCCAACGACATTTTGAAACATCAATGACACCACTTTTAGGACATTTGTTTGGATCTCCATCTGGACAAAAGCAAACATTATTTGGATCAATTTGACCGTTATCTAAAGTACGATTTGTAGCTTTCCAAATAGTTCCAGTAACTCCATGAAGTGTATAACTATCTTGGGGGTAAATATCAATTGAACGGCATATATCACTTGCGAAAACGGAAACAAAACTATTTGTATCAATCGATGGAGGCCATAATTCACCACTTGTACCGTTAACCATGGCACATGTCCCTTCATAAAATTTAGTTTTATTCGAATAATTCCACTCGGTTAAATAACCCAATTTATTAATTTCATCAGTTCCAGTAAACATGCCATATCGACCATCATATGTTTTTGACATATTTCTATCAACTAACCATCCAAACTTCTCAAATGGTATATCAATAGCTGGTGAATTAAATTTCTTCAAAAATGTTAAAAGTTTATCATCAAATCCATCAAAAAGCCATTCACCAGCCGGTTTTGTCCATGTGAGATCTCCACCTTTATGATTTAGAAGATAATTTATAGCTTTTTTTACCAATTTACTTTGATTTCTCATCAAATGTGCTACAGTCTTTAATTAATGGGAGAACAATAAAAAAGTATAAAAATTAAATTTGAAAAAATATAGATTCATGTTTATATAATACATATATACATATATATAAGTTATTTATTCTTACCGCAGTAATCACATTTGCATGAGTAATTGGCTCTTTTAAAGTACCATTTGATAATTCTGGCATAAAATGCCATTCTCTAACTTGATAATATGATACTGTATTATTTTTATTCCAATCTACATCAACACGCGTATGTTTTTCAGTAAAAACTAATGGACCATATTCAGTAAATTTTGGTTTAAAACCAGGTTCCGCTAATTCATGAGGATTAGTCCAATTAAATAAATACAAATCGAAATACATTGGTATCGGTGTTTCAATCCAATTATGATAGTTCATAGAACCATTTCTCAATTCCAATTGCTACAAAAATAAATTAAATAATTATTATAAAAATTTAATATTATAAATTGGTTATAATAATTTTTTTATTTTTACCTGATTTAATATTTTTTCAGATAATGGTGGCCATATTAATCCTATAATTAAACCTAATATTAATAAAAATGTACCAGTACCAAAAACCCAAAGTTTTCTCTGCACTTGACTGCAACATTTACAACACATATTTAATTATTTTATTTGGCAGTTTTCATAAAATAGAAAACAGATATCAAAAATAATATGCGTAGATTTTTTTAAGTAATAGAATTTTTTTTTTTTTTACGAGTCTATATAAATACTTATTATTTATTATTGTTATTAAGCTGTTTTGAAACAATTGATTTTAAAACAAAAAAAAAAAAACGAATCCCTTTTTTAAAGGGCAGATTTCGGACATCAAAAATATTTTTGATTTTATGTTTTTATGTTTTATATTTTATATTTATATGAGTCACGCTATCTTATTGTTGCTATATCTAGTATTTTCATCTGTAAAGAGAAAATAAAATTTTAATATTATTTTAAAATATAAATATTTAAATAAGTATAATACATGTACATATATACATATATCGTTTATTTGCTGCATTGAGTGACATAAGTCAAAAAATACATTGAATGGAAAAACATCATATCTCTAATTTGAAAATTTTCGAAAATATACAATTTCAGAGTTATGTCAGTGTGGCAGCAAGATCATAAATTTTTTAAAATTAATAAAATTATCTATTATTTAGTAAAATAACTAGTAGGTCTATTGAAAATGTAAGATATAATCACTTTAAACAAAATTTAAATTAAGAATTGAAAGATTTAAGAAAGAAACTTTAGAATAAAAGTCACTTTATTAAAAATTATACATTTATTAAAATATAACCTTTGTTTATAAATTTTATAAAATCTGTATGCTATCAAATATTAATTATAAAATTAATTATATTATTATAATTATCATATATTAATTATATAATTATAAAATTATTGAATAGATAATTAATAATTTCACATATATTAAAGTTTTTTTTTTTTTATCAAAACTATCAATGAAATTCTAGAAGTTTTCGCATTTTTTATATAAGTACAATACATAATCATATGCATTTACCACTAAACGTTTATCTGATTAGATTAAAATTTAATGTATATATAAATATATATATATATATATATATATATATATATATATATATATATTTTAAATGTATTTCAGTTGGCATTTAATCCGTGTGAAAACCCCGGTTCCCAGATATGAAAATTTCTAATATTGTAAGAAAATTGATTTAAACAACGTTTAAGTAGAAAGTAAATCGTAAACTTTTAATTTAATATTTATTAAGAGAACCATTTAAAATAATGAAAATCATTTAAAATATTTCAATATCTCTAAAATTTACTTCTTATAATTAATTATTTTTAAAGTGTTCCTGATTTCAAAATCAAACAAAAAAAAAACAATAGATTTTTAAAAAATATTAAATAAATGCAACCTTGAATTAATTTTTTTTTTGTTATTTTATAACAAGTTAATAAATTTTCTAAAGTAATTTTAAATAGATTTAAACCAGATATATATAAAGATAGATTCAAGTAATCGTTCACCACTTAATACAAACTACATTCATATAACAAGTATGTTTATTAATGAGTTAGCGTTTATACATCAAATATTGTTCGTTAATTTGGTTTGATCTGATAAAAATTTATTAAATGTTTGTTTATTAATTAAAAGTCTCTATATATTAGGTTGAAAGTAATGATTTTGTTTGATTTCATATATATACTTATTTAAAAATATAGAATTTTGAGGAAATTTTAGTGAAACTATTGTGAAAACATAAAAATTTTATTTCCGTAGTCATTTTTACTAAACATGTCTTTCAAACGTTAAAATCATACATTTTTATTTTAACATTCATTTAAAATTTTTAAATATTTAAGGAATCATTCAGACATGTAATTTTTAGTTTTGAAATTGCTATTTGGTTTTAAAATCGTTGAACGTACATTTAAGCAACTAAAAATTACAAAATGTTTGATTGTTTAATTGTTTGCGGTCATACAGTTACATGTATACGTGCTTGAATAACATCCTAAGAAATACAAATAAGCAATCAAACAGTTGTATAACTTAAAATTACATGTTTGTCTGAGCCCTAAGTTATCATATTAAGTTAAGTTTTTGTAGTGGTGATTAATATATCAAACTAAATTCTTTAAAAATCAAGCATTGTCTAAACACTACTTAGAATATGTAATTTAATTTATATCTAATTCATAATAATATATTCACATTTAATAAATATTTATGAGTTTAAATAGTAGCTTAAAAAAAAAATTTAAAGTACATAAATGCGACTGATAACGCCATAAAAAAATTTTAAAATATATTTTTGTTTATAATTAAGTTTTAACCCGTTTAGTACCGAACCCCTTAAAATGACAGTTTTTCTATAGTTTTTTTATTTACTTATATATTAAGTCATACATTGAATATCAAAAAATATATTCCATCCTCAGTTGAACTTGTAATGGAATAAAATTATTTTATAGCAGTATACAATGATTTTAATGTTTAAGTGTTGTACAAATGCCATTAACTACACTATTTTGATAAAACAATTAATTTATAATTGAAAAATTGAATTTTAAAAAATAAAAATTTGATCAGTTTTGCAAAAAGGAATTAGAGGAGAAAAAAATTTTGAAGAGAAACAATGGTTGTCAAAATAATATTCCCTTAAAGAAATCCCGGTACGAAAACAGTTAATAAGTTTTAGTATATATAAATATGTATACATCAAAATATGAGATAGTATTTACATAGGTACCCTAAGTACAATCGTAAAAGATAAGATAAAAAAAATAAAGTTTACAAAAAAACTTATGTTTTTTTTTTAAAAACAATTTTTATGTATTTGAATATTTTTAATAATTTTCATAAATCATTTCAAATTGTTGAACTAATTTAAGAAATATTTATTAAGTAAAAATTCAATCATCATCAGATAAATCCGTCGCTTGATTTTTTAAATATTCAAAGTAATTTAACGTGAAATTGCACTTAAGCAATTGACGCAGTAAAACGAAAAAGTAAGCTTTCCAATATGTCAAAAATTTGACTAATAATCGCATAATTCACTTAATTTTGCAAATGACAATTATTTGCAATATTTAATCAAAATTCAAAAATCACATTTTTCAAATTGAAAATTCACTTATTCCGTCAACCGTTAAAGGAATGCAAAAAAAAAATTAAAATATGTTAAGTTGTCATCACATATGACGCGTTAACATTATTCATGACATTCCGTAACGTCAGTTGCACGCATTTGATATATGTACTGGGAAACGAACACAAATTAAAATCGTTTTAATTTTACCATATAATATAGATTACTTTAAATCTTAATATCTTAGTTTATCAATTATTCGGAAAAATTTGCATATATTTTTGATTTAGAGTATACTAGAATTTTGAGGCAATAAAATGAAAAAAACGTTCAAGATGGGACGCTTAAATTAAATGAAAAATCTTATATCTTCTTTAAATATGGATAAAAATTTGTTCTGCGCTTCATAGTATTAAAAATGGGCAACGCATCTAAGCATAGTCATAGTGAATATATGTATGTATATCAGTTGATGACTGCATTTCATTTTTGTAAGTCATACGTATATACGTTTGTAAATTCGTAGAAACTCAAATTATTAAATGTTTTAAAATTATATAAACAACAAAAAATTAATTACTTAATATAAATTGATTTTTCAATTATATTAAATAACAAAATACTTAACTGTTATACAAATATAAACTAAATATATACAATGCAGATATACATCGGTATATATAAAAACATTAACATTTAAAACATACTTATATGTGCTTTACTTATTAATAATTAATTAAAATTAACATTAAAAATAAGTGCTAAAATTCATCTTTTGTATTCAAATGATCTAGAAATATTAAAATAATTTACAAAGAATACTATAATAAAGAAAACTATTATACATATAACTTATTCATAAAAATCGACAATACAAAATGCTATACAGGTAAAATATGTATATTTCATTGACAAAATAAAAATTATCTTACCAGATTTATATAAAAAAAAAAAAGGTTCTTTTTTCTATATACCAAAAAATATTTAATAAAATAATTGCAAATTTAACATAATCCGATCAAAACACTTATTTGTTGCGTACACTTATTTGTATATTTGATTATTGATCGGTTGATCCTGAACTAATCCAAACGACTAACTTTAAATAAATACCTACTTTGTTAACCATCGAATAATTTTAATTATCGCGAAAAAAAAAAAAAAACTGAAGCTTTGATATCAAAAAATTTTTATGAACCAACTTTGATGTGATAACAAAATTAATATTTTTTTTTTTATTCAAATTTTATAATATTAAAAAAAATTTTTTAATTGCATGCATTATGTAAGTATAAAAATTCCATACAGAGGTTGTTAAAGGTTTTTTTATTTTTACTATAAGGCTTAATTCAATGTCCAAGCAAAGATATGGCTTTATTTATTGTGAACACAAAAAAAACAAAATAAAACAAAAATTAAATGATAATAAAATACAGTGGGTAATTTTATTCTTATCATCCCATATGAACAATTATATATTGGTATATGTATATGTATTTGCAGTAATATCGAATAAAGACAACCATTCATATAATATTTCGGGGGAAACTTATTGGAAACTAAAAAAAGAAAAGAAAAAAAAAAATGAATGATTTAAAATTGTTTACATTTTTGATAAGGCGTATATCGAACTTTTATCCGAACTGTTCCATGAAAATTTGCCATATTTAATCCAAAATATCCAAAATTATACAATTTACGAATCACGGGATATGCAAAATTTTCGAAAACTTTTCTATATTTTAAAGTTCTTATATATAATTTTCTATTATAATGAGAAAGTTATTTCAAGTTTATCTCAACGGATTTTGATCTTATATTTCCATTATTAAATAAAATTTTATTGAAAAATTAGATTTCAGAATTTTGGTAAATTTTTACAGATTTATAAATTTCAATTGTATATAACTATATCACAATGGAATATTACGATATAATTTTCAACCGCTGTGAATCATATACATACATAATATACGATTTAGGTGACCTTATTATTATCACTCATCTTTTTAATAATCAAAATATTCTTGAAAAATTTTATTGTATTTTCAATCTTCTATACAATTTTCAATTTATAAATGAAAATTTTGAATACTCATGTATTTGAAATAATATTGCGAAATATGCTTGAAAATATATACTATGCCCGTAACATTAATAAAATCAATTTTAGATTTATAGAAAAAAGTTGTTATTATCATATGTATTACATATATAGAGTGTATATAAATACCCATTGAATTAATTTAATCCTTATCACAAATAATATAAACTACGATATAAAACTTATAATACAAAACAAAAGTATAAAAAAAAATG